TTGGGTCTACCCCACATGAAGACACACAGCATCAGATTTTTTCCTTTATATAGACCTTGAAAGGAAAGCCCTGGGTGGGGGGTGGGGGCGGGGAGCCTTGTTCAAGTCTGCCCAAGCAGACCAGACTTGGGGCGCCTAGAAGGCTCAATCAGTGGAACATGCAACTCTTTCTTTATCTTGGAGCTGTTGGAGTTGTAAGTTTGAGCCACACGTTGAGTGTAGAGATAGCTTAAAAATAAAATCTAAAAAAAAAAGGCTTGCCAGCCTCCTTTGTCCTGAAACTCTTCAATTTTTACCATTTACCACAATAAAAGCTGTTGGGCGACTTTTTAGTGACCCCAAGTGGTCAGCAGTCAGTGCAGGCCCCATTTAGCTTTATAATAAGCCAGACAGACCTAGATCTTCTAGAGAAAACAAATGAGGGACTAGCTCCCCTGCTTCTAGTATTTCCTTAATCGGAGCTAAGAATTTCGTTTACCTTCCCGGAATCTTGTGCTGTTTAATAGTTCCCACAGGGGAAGGTTGAGACAGTTCTTAGGGCTTCCCATGTTAGGACATCCAATCCAACTACAGCTGGGCTAAGAAACAACAGCCCAAGATTAAGTTCAAGCCAGAAACGGCAAGATTGTTCATTCACATGTCGCGGCCTTTCCAATTATGCATTTAGACAAAGGTGATAACATCCACTGATTATCCCGCTCGGGACTGGGCAAGGAGAGCGTGGCCTTCAAAACCAGTCTTCTTTGTTTCAACTGCCTGAAAGGATGGAGGAACTTCAGCAGCCCATATCAGAGCCTTCTGTTTCCATTCCCCATCGGCATCATTGATTTAACTTGTGAGATGAAAGCAGATTTAACAGGGTTCCTTAAGGGAAGCAGCTGCTAGAACTGCAACAGATTTCCTTCCTCCCAGCTGGCAATCATGTGCCAGGAAATCTTTCATAGGACTCCTGTCACTTTTCATTCTGTGTCTTAAAAGTCACCTAAAGAGAGCTAATAGATTTATCTCTGGCTATGATCTTTCTTCTGAATAGCCCAGATAGTTTTCCCATCAGTGAAACCAGCGTGGCAGCTGTCAGAGCAAGTATCCCCATGAGTCATACATACGCTCCTGCATTTCCAAAAGGAGAACATGGAGAACCCATACCTGGTGGAGCTGCTAATCATAGCATCTACCAGAGTTGAGGGAACCAGGGAGCCGGTTCTCAGCACAGCCTCATACCACCCCAGGCTTTAGGCAAAAGGGTCACTGATTCCACTGCCAGTAGCTGCTGCAAGTTAAAAGTTAGAATTCACAGCCAACATCATTTTTCATGTTTTTTCATCCCTGTGGCAATTAACCTAAAGCTCCAAAAAGCCCAGATTGATTCCCCAGATATTGGCTGCTATTTCACAGTAAAGAGACCCTTTACATTATAATTGCTTTATCCAAAATGGTAGATTTAAGCCACAAGTGGCTATCGAGTCCTGGAAATGTAGAGTCTGATCTGAGGTGTATTACAAATAAATATACACTGTTTCAAGGACTTAGTATGAAACAAAGAGTGTAAACTATCTCCTTAATTTTTACTTCAAAGGAATGTTTAAATCACATTTAGGGCCTACCGAATTAAAAAAAATACAATACTAAAATTAATTTTACCTCTTTCTTTTATCTCGTTAAAATTAACTAATGTAAAATTTAAATGGAAAATTATACACGTGATTTTTGTCTGTGGCTCCCATTAAATTTCCATCGGACAGGGCTGTTGGATACTCATAAGTTTCCAGTGTTGCTTGCCTGGGTTTGCCAAGAAGTCCCATCAGGATAAAATGCAAGTCTTTCTAAGTCCTGAATGGGCTTTCACGTTCATCCTGAGCCCAGGCCATGAAGCTGCTTGCTGTCCTTGCTCTAACTCCTCTTTCAGCCAAGTGGTTTCAGTTTCACAGATAATCAATGAAATAGAAGAGAAGACATTCCTTGCGTTTTGAGTCACTTTCCTCTCAGTTCCCTCACCCTGGTCTGTTTCAATTCTATGTCATTAATTACCCATCTGTCAATTCAACAAGGGAGAATTCTGTGTCAGCCACATTCCAATAGCAAGAGTTATCCCAGTCATTTTCTGCAGGGCTTTGGCAACCTCAAACCCAGGATGGATCAGGATCTCATTCTCACCAAACTCCCTTCCAGAACTTTGGGCCATAGTGAGTCTGAAACAATCTGAAAGCCAGTTCAACTTCCGTCACCACCGCTGAAATTCGAGGTGAAAGTTGCCAATCAAACCCCCCAGACACAACAGGCTTTATAACCTATTATGAAGTTTACTTGGTCCTATGGGAGCATGGGAAGCAGCCAACCCATCAGACCGAGTATCTTCATCTCACTGGGAGGCAGGGGAGTCGCTCAAGAGCACAGTTGCTCTTGTCCTTATCCACAGGTGCATGGAGATGCACGCCATGGGGAAACGTCAAGGCCTGTATTATCCCCTCAACACAGAGAAGCCACAGCCTTGATTTCCTACCAAGCCTGTATACATTCTGGTCACGTAGGCCAAAGGCCTTCGGGCCCCACACAACAACCTCTGTGCAGTAAATGTACCCAATTCCATGTTCCCCATTTAGCTTAACTCTATTGTTTTCAAGGAAATGTTGTGCAAAGAATCAGGAGTCATTCATCAGCCCAGGTCTGACGTTAACCCTGTACTCACAGTTATGTGGAAGGATACGGTTGAAAATAACGGACCGATCCATGAATAGCTTAAATCTTAAAAAAAGATTTTTCGAGATGAGTAATGGGGTAGGTTTCTCTAAGGTCTGAAAATAAGTTCTTCCAAATAGATGGTTAGAAAGGGAGTAAGTGGGAGTAGTGGTTAGAGATACAAACTTCCAGTTACAAGATAAATAAGTACTAGGACTATTACTTACCTACAACATGATGAGCGAACTAATGCTTCTGTATGACCTACAGAAAAGGGAGTAGGTCCTAAGAGTTCTCATCACAAGAAGAGAGTTTTTCCTTTTCCTTTTATTGTATCTCTAGGAGATAGTGGGTATTAAATAAACCCATTGGGATCATCATTTCACCATATATGTAAATCAAACCATCACACTGTACAGCTTAAACTGATACAGTTATATATGTCAGTTGTTTCTCAGTAAAACCAGGGGAGACTGAAAGTAAGTGAACCCCACTTTACAAAACACAGCAGATAGAATCCTAAAATTTTAGTATTTTTGTAATTTATCTCTTAACTGGTTCAACGAATATGTCAGTACCTCGCAGTAAATGTTCATTGAAAAATGACTCTTGCCCTATTTTGAGATGGATTTTTTTTTCAACACATGGGCTGACATAGGTTAAAAGGCTGTTTTATACTTCAGCAGTCAGCTGATGTGCACATAAAGCTATATAAATTATTCAAACAAACTATACCTTTTTTCTGGAATGCAAACACCAGCATGATTTCCTAATCTATAAGGATGTTAATTTAGCACTTACAGTTTAATTTCTTGTATATTCATTTTTTTCTAAAACAGAGAAATTCAAGGCAAATAATAATTTAGCTTTGAAATTCCCATGGAGGCTAAAAAAAAATTGCCAGTATAAATGAACACCCTTATTAAAGAGTATTGAAAAATCAATTTCCCATTTTTATAAGATGACAACAGTAGTTATGTGTAATTAGGATCATCAGCTTTTATCTCATATTTCTTTCCTCAAAATTCAACTGCTCATAAATCTTACGGTTAAGCTATTTTCCAATAATTATATGTTTTTGTCGTATGAAATTGCCTCACTCCATAATTCCCAAAAAAACCATTTTATACATTATTACATCAACTTTGCTCATCTTCTCATATTTAGAATCCATTTTAATTTCCATTTTTCATGTTCATATTTTGTAATATACTGTTCATTGAGCCTCTATTTTCATAGACCCAAAATAATTTTTCAAGTGTTTGAGGCAATTACTTTTGTCTCCTATATTACTATTAAAAATTACTTTAATAAAGGAAGAGCTGTAGCAACTTCATAAAATATCTTTTTAACTTTCAGTTTTAGTAGCAAAAATCCAATTAATTGGCAATCACTACTGTTACATTCTAAATAAGTGCATTAAAGTAAATTACTCATTAATGATTTTAATTATAAACTCCTAAATACCATATTTTCCTATCATGAGCACACTTCACTTATCACATTTTCATTAAACAGTTTTTCTTTTAAATTTTGGTTTTCTTTTCACACACATATATGGAGAACTCTTTAATTCGTAACATTCAAGAGAAGGAAAGGTAACATAGTAACTTAAATAATAGGTTTTGGAGCATAATAAGTTAAACAATTTTCCTTAACATGAGATGAACTTCTGCCAAATTTCATTTATAATTTCAACTCAATTTACCTGAAAAGTAATCTCATATAAACTAAAACATGTGACTATCTTCAGTCTTCTAAATGGGTTAGTGTAGAAGAGAGAAGTAACATTAAGTGAGGATAACAAAAACCAAGCAGTGTTCTTAAGCTAGACTGTATTTTCCAATGAAGTAATCTAAAAATCATAGGAAATAAACATTGACGTTTACCTCTATGAAAAAGAAAAATCCAGTCAATGATCTTGATATTTCACCCTTTGACATCGTGTATTTACCCATTTAAACACATAATGTAAAACAAACATGGTATATGAATAGATAACACATAATATCCCACTAGGTTCTTTTTCTTTCTCTATTTATTTAACTATTCTAGCCATATAGAGACAATACAAGAATTTGTAGTTTTCCCAATAAACATGTTAGTTAAGAGTTTCATATTTCTTAGTGGACACATTTATATGATGCAACAGGATAAATCAATAAAACTTGAATGGGGAAAAAGCAACTCAATCTTTATATGCTTCAGTTATCTTTCTGTTACAATAAATGGTAACACTTATCATGATAAAGTTTTAGTTATGATTCTGAAATACAGGCTCTATTCCATGACTAAAGTGTTTTCTTTTGTTTTTCTTATGACAGGATGATGAGGTAAGGGAAAGTCGATTCAGCTTCACAGCCTATGGAATGGGACCCTGTCTGCAAGCAAAAGATGGTGTGACCCCGAAGGGCCCAAACCATCCTGTCCAGGTAATGCCGAAAAGTCCTGATGAAATGAGGAAGGTTTTTATCGACAGAGCCAAGAAGATTGACACCATCTCTCGAGCCTGTTTCCCATTAGCCTTTTTGATTTTTAATATTTTCTACTGGGTTATCTATAAAATTCTTAGGCATGAGGATATTCATCAGCAACAAGATTAAGCCTCTGGGGGAATGCAAGTGCAAACGATCAATTCAAAAGAAAGTTTCTTTGCCATAGGTGTGTGTATACGTGTGTGTTTGTTGGCGTAAAAATGATGACCATCATTAAAATGGCATATGGGTGGGTATTTTTGTGATATGCTATGCAAAGTCACAAGGCAGATTAAGAGTCTTTTGATGGATACAAAAATATATATTATGAGGATTTTATTTCATATTAATTTAAGATTATTTGTCCTTTCACTGTATATCATGTAAGTGGAAGTATTACTGCCAATGTGTTTGTATTGTTATATAATATCACATAATAGTACATGTGAAAACTGCTTTGGAAATTCTTCGTTTTCAGTTCAATGACGTTAAATCTTACAAAAGTAAAATTTACACAATTAACTTTGTAACTAGGAAAAGCAGAAATGTTGAAGATTTTAAAAGTCAGTAGCTTGAGGCTTTGAAATATTTTCTCATAGTGTAGCTACAAAACAGAAGAGTAATCAATTAATTCAGCAGAAAACTCAGTAACGGAGGATTGTACATATAAATGTTATGGGATCAACTTATGTACTACCAAAAAAATTCAAATTATAAAATTAAAATTAAATTTAATTGTTTAGAAGACAAAATGTCCCTCTTTGGAAATTTAAAACAGATGGCATAAGAGATCATATTATATATAAAATCTACTTTTCTTAACTTTAGATCTCTATGAAAAGATGGAAATACTGAAAACAAGAGAATTGCTTTTAAATAAGTGTTATAACTGTGTATTTGGAATTATTGCCAAACACTGCAAAATGCAAGCCAGCACCCTTGTTTTGTTGGATTTTTAACAGTTGCTTAACTATCTGTACGTAATTATGTTTAATGTTTTGATATAATTGAACAAAGTTCAGTAAGATTTTTATATTTTATCTTAGAATGAGACTTTAAAATTCAATGGGATTGTAGTATTTACATTTTGATAAAAATGAATTTAATTAAAACAAAAATGGATTTATGAAAGATTTTTTTAGTAAGAACAGTTTCCCATCAAAGTTATATGGGTTCAAACTCTTAGTTCCCAATGTAAGGAGGGAAGATTTTAATTCTAAGTTATATAAATAAGTCATTTCTATAAAATAAGGATTGGTTGTTTTGTATTTCTGAATTAATGATTTCAATATATATGCCATGCACTAGATGTGAATAATTTTAAATAAAATTTTTACTTAAAATTTATCAGCAACCCCATGGAATTATTTTAACTGCAATGGGGCATTAACTCATTTCACGCAGTGTAATTAAGTACAAATATATGATAGAGTTAGTGGTGAAATTACACCTGACTCTGATTCTTTTCAGTTTGGCAATTTTTTGCATTATTTTTTTTATCAGTACTGTTGTATTTTTAAAAGTTCTAGAATGCTTTTTAGATACATTTAATTGTTGGTCAGATTTGCTACATGGAAACTCAAGGGGCCAAATGATTGACAGAAAAAGATTTAAAACATTAAGAAAACAATTAACTCAGATTCAAGAGGAAAAAATAAGCCAGTCTTTGAATCAAATGGTATTATTTTCTGAACTTTAATCACTCTAAAAGTAAAAGCAAGAACTGCCGTTTAAAGTTAAAAGTTTCTCAATGTTATGGAGCTTTGGTCTATCCAATAGTAGTTTTTAAAAATAACTTTTGAAAAAATAATGTTTATTCAGCAATTTTTGCTAGTGAAGGACCAAACTGCCCTCCTTTATAAATAAAACACTATGAGGGGGAAACAAACAAACAAACAAAAACAAAACAAGTTTGTCATTAAATGCAAATGCCACAACTGGAAGAAATTATTACTCTTTACTTACTTTGAGGACTGTGTGCCTGAAAGTTGAATACAGTCTTCTTCATTTGCTGTGATGTGAATCAAAACCATGGGAATATATTCTTACACTAAAGATAGATTAGAGCCAGACATGCTGTTTGTGTTCCCTGGGGATAAACTGGGTATTGTGGAGTTAGGATAAACTACGTTGTCTCAATATGTCTCTGAAATACTTGAATATATTTTTCTGTACTTTACACATCTTATTTCAAAAGTTCTCCATCACTGTTTCAATTAAGTGAATTCTGTCAGAAGCAAATAGAAACATAACGAACTTATTCCCCAAAAGAAACTCACAGACATTGCTTGTTTAATATCTAAGAATATTTAAAAATGTCTCTTTTATCCCTGAAACTTGGAATGTAAAAATACTAGCCACAAGACAACTTGTCAGCAGAAGCATTGGTATGGTAGAAATCTATCTTAAAAGTATTATACTTTGCCTGGGTGTGTATGTTTATCATTGTCTTACTATACTAAGAAAATACTCTGATGGTCCTGACTCATATGGCAACATTATATGGCAACTCATATGGCAACAATAACATTATTTCTATGGCTGAATCCAAACTGTTTAAAGAAATGTATCCCCTCGAATGAACGTTTACAGATTGTTTAAAACTGGAAAACTACATCGCAGTTAGCATCTCAAGGTAGTAGTTAGTAAGCCCTGTGTCAAACCCTAATTTTTCAATTAAACCAACAGAAAACTATTAATGGTGAGAAAATTCAAATGTGTTCCTACACTAATTACCCACGTGCAAGTTAAAATTCTAACACAGATATTCTGATTGTTTTGAAGGAGCCATGTTAGAAAGTTTGCAACTTTCGTACATGCAGTTTAGTATAATTTTTCTTAGTATTATGTATCTCAACCATTGAAATTTATGGTTCCATAGTATATGAATTTTTACAAAACCTTGTATCTTAGCATTTAGATGCCATTTTTTTTTTCTTCCCCAAACATTAGAATTGAAGGTCAGCTATAGTGGGGATCTAGAACTTTCTTTACTACTTAAAATAGATTCCCGAATGAAACTCTAGAAGCAAGAAAGCCAAGGATCTTTAAAATTCCTCTAACCTTTCCACGTGTTTCTCCAAGACAGTTACTCACCCGCAGAGCCTAGTCAATTCCCAGCTGCTATGTTTAAAAGATTCTATGACTACTTATCTTATTCTACAATTAATTCTTATTCTATAGGTATAGTCTGATAACATTTACCCTAATTTTGAACTATAAATGCTTTAAAAACTATTTATCCCTAAAATATGGATACATTAGGTTTATGAATTCCCAGGATCTTATGGAAGACCATGGAAATTTTAGAAAGAAAATGTGAAAAAGTAAGCCAACATGTTTAACAGAAGAAAGTTGTGAACTACTTTAGCATTCTGTGTAGTTGAAGTTGTTGTGATTTTAAGAGAAATACAGGTCTGTCTTCCATACTATACATCCTATTTTAAAAAAATATACTTGTCTATTCTCAGCATGATATACTTCGACCTGCTAGTCATTTCAGAGGATTGAACATTACATTGGTAGTTATGTTTTCTTTTCATCTATAAAGTACACATCCATGAAATCAACTCCAGGGAATATGGGAATTGCCAACATTAAAAGTAGAAAACACTCTCACATTAAAAAGTAGGAAATTGGCAATACTGATATTTGTAGATGTCCCAGACAACAACTAGAGCACTCTGAAAATGCAACCCTTAGATTGAAAATGTACCACAGTCCTTAGACTAATCAATCATTAACAATCTTTGAAGTCATGTCTCTTACTCCAAGACAGATTTCTTATACTTTGTAACAGAGGTAATAGCAAAATCTTTCAAAATTTGCCAGCCCGTACCATCTGTATTTCTCATCTAGTTGATGCTGAACTGGTAAAGAAAGCAAGCCTTTCCATGTATACAACATAAACTTACATTTAGTCTATTAGTATTCATTGATGCTAACAATGCAAAGACTATAAAATAATGAGATGAGTTTAAACATATTAAAAGAATAAGAATGGTTTCTACCACAGGGATTTGAATTTTAACAATCTAGCCAAAACAAATATAATCAATAGAAAATAGCATATATATTAATAGTAATCTTAGTTCACTGAGTTTGGTCAAGAATTGTCTGGTGACTCAGAGTATGTATATATATTTTTTGTATCTTTATAAGAGCAATTTTGTCTTTTTTTTTTTTAAAGATTTTATTTATTTATTTGACAGACAGAGATCACAAGTAGGCAGAGAGGCAGGCAGAGAGAGAGTGGAGGAAGCAGGCTCCCCACTGAGCAGAGAGCCTGATGCGGGGCTCGATCCCAGGACACTGAGATCATGACCTGAGCCAAAGGCAGAGGATTTAACCACTGAGCCACCCAGGCGCCCCAGCAATTTTGTCTTTTGAATTACAATCACCTATTAAGCACAGTTATGATAAATACCTTTTCTAGTTATTTTGGGTATTTGGTTTGGGAACCAGATAATTTTGTTGCCTTGGCCTGGCTCCTGGACTGTTACTTGCTGTTGTAAAGGTATTGAAACAGCATAATCGGTTCTGACAAGCATAAACGTGCATCATCACTTGTTGGTTTCATTTGCATTTCAGAGAAAAATTTAGCCACAAGGACTGTAAAATCTTTAAAGTGACAAATTTTATTATCTCTTTAAACTGTACCTCAATTACTGTATCTGCTCAAGCAAAAATAAAGGAATCTCTGGTACAGTTTTTCAAGTAATTTTGACAAGACCCCTTTCTTTAACTGAACTTATCTGAATAATGGGCAGTGGAAAGGTATGAATTGAAGATTAGAATTCTATAAAAGACTGATATTTTGAATATAATGACAACCATATCTTGTTCTCCACAATGCCTTCATAATTCCTTACTGTATTCTCTATTTCGGACACAAGGCCATTCGTGGCAGTGTAGGATAACCATGTCCATCTCAGTAATCACCAACTAGTCTTTAAGCACACAGTTAACTCTAGATTCCATGACATATATATTGTAGGCCTTGAAGTGTATCAATTCATTCACTTTGACATTTCAAAAGGATACTAAAATAAGAATTACTGCTTGTGTCTATAAGACAATCTGGTGACTTTTAACACAATATTTTCAAAAATACAATATATATGGACACA